TTCTTACTGTTTTGGCTTCCGCCAACCCCTGTACTCTGTATTACTGTTAAGAAGGCCTTCGGTAATCTCGGATTACTGGCCAGTTACGGTGCTAAACCCATAGGAGTGGGTTTGGGTCGTGACAGAGTGGTATCAGAGCGTTATTAAATCACGAGTTGTACCGCACACACGTGTCCAAATGAGCTATAGGATGTCCTTGAAAAATGATTAGGGCATTACATGAGCATGATAAGTATGTATGGCTACGACATGAATATAACTGTTAATGTGATAATCTATCTAAGTATGCAACTACCTATGTTTATAATTGTTATAATTGCCTATAGTGAGATGGACAACGCAAGAAATGTTGATGAAACTGAATCCTTTGAGGCAAGAATGGCAAGGTTGGAGAGAATGGTGGAACTACTAACTGAAAGACTAGGGCAACGATAAAACCAACGGCCCTCACCTCCTCCAGTACAAGCAAAGCCACCTATGAATGATGATATCATAGCTCTGACACGGAAATTTAGTAAGATGAAATTGTCATCCTTTCAGGGAGGCCTCGAACTGCTAAAAGTTGAAACTTGGGTTCTTGAGACTGAAAAGTTATTTGAAGTATTTCCGTGTTCGGAGGCACACAAAGTACTACTAGCTACCTTCACCTTATAAGAGGAGGCCAGAAGGTGGTGGATGCTGGTCTGTGACACCAACACAGTTGTGACTTGGGCTCAGTTTAAGGAGTCCTTCTTTGAGAAATACTTTCCACAATGTGTCCGAGACCGCAAGGTGACTGAATTTGAACAGTTGAGGCAAGGTACCATGTCTGTTGCTGAATATGAATCGAAATTTACTGAACTTGCCAGATATGCACCACACATGGTTGACACTGACTATAAGAAGGCCAGGAAATTCGAAGGTGGCCTTAATGTCGAAGTACTTGACAGAATTAATGTGTTGAATTTGCACAAGTATGTGGATGTTCTTGACCGGCCCATTATAGCTGAATCAAATATTGAAGCATTGAAACAGACTGAAACACCTGTAACTGAGTGGCGCGAGAAGAGACGGGGTTTTAAATTCAAGAAAAGCATAAACAATTCATCGAATAAGAAGCAGAATACGGGGTCAACAACCAGTTCCAGTCAGGGAAGTGGTTCCATACCGCCCTGTTCTGAATGCAGTAAGAAACGCAAAGGGGTTTGTTATAAAATTTCAGGTGCTTGTTACAGGTGTGGCAAGGTGGGCCACATGGTCAAAGATTGCCCTTCCACTCCTCAGGGCAATAGTAAAGCTGCACCAAGCGCAGCAGCATCAACTGCTCCAACAAAACCCAACCCCAAAGCCACTGGGAAAGAGCCCATGAGGCAAGGCCGAGTGTTCGCACTCATAGCGGGAGACGTACAAAATACCGAGACCGTCGTGTCAGGTATACTCTCAATTTGTGCTCAAAATGCATATGTTTTGATTGATTCGGGGTCTATACATTCATATGTATCGCATGTTTTTTCGCGAAAATTGAATAGACCATTGGAACCCATGAATTATTTGTTAGCTATATCTTCACCTGTTGGGGGATCTGTGACTTGTGCTTATATGTACCCTGCATGTGAAATTACCAGAGCTAGGAGCGTGGGTTAGACTCCCTTTTGTCAAAGCCAACCACTGTGCCTCACTGCGAGGTTCCGAGCTTGTCAAGCTACGGCTTTTGGGGTGTTTTAATTTTCCTCCACCTGTCTCTATATCGGTTTTGTAATACTGTATAGACTGGTACTGCACTGTGATGATAGGGATTAGGTCCCTGTCCTGGATGATTGTATATATTGTACATGCTATTTTGGTACTGATCGTATATGTGTATATGATATGAAAAGTCTTTTTGCATACAGACTGTCACAGCTCATTGGACATCTTTTCTTACTGTTGTGGCTTCTGCCAGCCCCTGTACTCTCTATTACTGTATTACTGTTAAGCAGGCCTTCGGTAATCTCGGATTACTAGCCGGTTACGGTGCCAAACCCATAGGGGCGGGTTTGGATCGTGACAGGTGTTATAGAAATGATTAAGAAATTCACGTTCCATTTGCTTCCAATTGTCGATTGACTCGGCCTCTAAATCAGTGTACCAATCAAAGACATTTCCTTTGAGTGACCGAACAAATTGTTTGACAAGTAGATCTTCGTCTATCCTGGCATTGTTGTAAGTTTCGACAAAGTGAGCGACATGTTGTTTAGGATTACTTTTTCCATCGAACTGTTAGAACTTGGGAGGTTGGTACTCACTAGGCATTCTAAGAATGTCTATCCTCTTTGTGTAAGGCTTGGAGTACATGAAAGCGCTTTGCGGGAGCCTACAGTATTGTGCTCGGATGGTATTTACAATCATGTCTTGGAGTTGTTGAACAAACAAAGAAGTAATAGATGTTGGTTGACTATTTGTACCAATCGCTTGCCTTGTAACAGATGTGTGGCAAGTTTCCCTACCAACTTGCTTGGACTTAGATATAGGGTTCGCCTTATCAACAAACGTGGCTTGTGGTGTAAAGCCAGGTGGATGAAAATTGTCTTCACTTGCCTCGCCAGCATTTTGTGCTTCTAACTTGTTCAACAAGGTGGCAATCTGAAGATCTTTCTCTTCTACGGTTTTGGTGAGCTTGTCGATGACACAAGCCATGGCCACCAATTGTTCTTCCACTGAAGTGGTGCCAGTGGTCATGACTTGCATAGCCATCGAACGAGACAAATTTGAGTGATTCGATGAAATTGAACATTGAGGACTGCTAGGAGATAATCCTGAGTGTGAGCTTATACTTGAGTTTGCATCAGAAGCTACAGGTGTTGTGTATGGAGACAAATCTTCTAGTGGAGAATCCTTTGAGACATAAGTGGGCTTCTTCTATTCCCTCACTTCCTTTTGCTTAGCCCCAGGCTTGGATACCGTGACAGATTTGTGAGACTTGCCTTGGGCTTGCTTTGTTGCATTGGCAGTCGACATGACCTCGTGAGTGGCAAGAGCAATGGTAGCCTTGGTCTTGCCACGGTTGATTGGACACGTTGAAGTGATGTTGTTGCTGGTCGTGACAACAGCATTCTTGCTGGCGTTCTTATTGATTGGAGTAGTTTGAACTTTCTTTGAAGCCATTATGCTTGATCAAACAAAGCTTTGGAAATATGCTTTAGGAGAAAGAGATGAGAAGCGAAGATGTTCCATTAGGAGTGCCAAGATTTGTAAACACAAATTTCGTATCCTGCAATTAAGACACAAAATAAATGCACAAATAATTAACTTTATTTGATTATAATAAATGTGAACAATTCTCTGTGGTTTGCTCAATTACAAAAGAACAAATCCTCTGATTCGATCTTTGAAATGGGTTGCAATCCAACGACTGTAGAAGCTTGTTGTTGAATCGAACAAGTTTGGTGGATTTCTTCAAGTCTTCTAAAGGAGAAACTTGGAGAAAAAAAGGCTTGATCTCAGGCTTGAATGAGTCTTGAAATGATTTCTTTAAAAGAAGGGACCAAATTTGTATTTGTAACTTGAAAATATTGGCACAAGTTTGGAGTACTTGATAATCCTTTTTTTTAAGTTTGAGGAACTTTAGAAAAAAATTTAAAAAGAGAATTTGGCAGAATTTTCAGATTGCTTGGAGCTTGCAAGACCTTGTGCCAAAAAGAATGTGTGTCCTTTTTCCTTATAATGAGAGCCTCTATTTATAGGTTTAGGAGGGAAGGGTTAATTTTGAAAATTCTAAAATTGACTCTAATTTCAAAAAAAAAAAAAAGAAATTTATTTATTACTTTATGAAAATAATTTGCATTGAAATTTGAATTATTCCACTAATTTTTGACAATATATCTTCATGAGCCCTACACTTTTAGATTGACCCAATTGTCAAAATTAGTTCACTTTTCTTTTGATGTTACCTATAATTTAAAATGGGTTAAGATCCATAATTTTAATAGGGCCCACATCCATTTGATAATTTTGACTATCTTCATTTTGACCAATCAAAAAAAAACTATTTGTCTTGATTAATCAAGCGGCAATCAAGACACGTAAAAATTTAAGTGTCTACATAGAATTTAAAAAAATAAAAAACACGACAAACTCTTTACACTTTTATAATAGTAGTAGATTGGGTATAATTGCATAAGAGATTAGAAAATATCATGATACTCTTTAATGAAAATAATATTAAAATATATAATTAATTTTTCATTATATAAATTATTTATATCAATTTCATATTATACAAATTTGATAATAATTTGATGGATTTAATATTCGTAATATTAAATCATATCACATACATATTAACTTCAAAACATACCATTCATAACCCATTAATTATGCGACAATGCTACGTAACTTAAATTTTGTGGCTCAAAAGTGGCTCAAATGGTCAAAACGACGTCGTTTTGAGTACAGAACAGCATAAAAATGGCCAAAACGACGTCGTTTTGAGTACAGAACAACATAAAAATGGCCAAAACGACGTCGTTTTGGCCATTTGAGCCACAAAAGAGCCACAAAATTTGAGTTACGAGACATTTTTCAAATACAAAAACAAAAAATTGTGCTAAGATACTTCTAACAAAGCACTGGTTTGTCATGATGAGTTGGGGGGAGTTGAGACTAAAATAGTTACTCCTTCCGTCTTAAAATATTAGTCCCTCTTAAAAAATCAAGTATAAAAATAATGTAAATTTTCTATTCAACAATGATTCATCCCCCCTTTTCCTTCCATCCCCTTTGACCCCCTCTCTCTTTTTCCTTACACACTAATTTATACAACTTTTTAATACATATTTTTTCATAAAAAGTCAAAAAATTAACCCAAACATCCATATTTTCCTTTTTTTTTAATTTTTTAATTCAAAAAAATAAAAAATATACTTATTTAATACACCCCAAACAATACCTATATTATGTGAATTTTGGCCAGCTTCCAAAAGACTCCTGTATCTTTTGTTTTCATTTGCCACATCACTCCTACTACCCTGCATCGATTTCATCGAACACAAACAAAATAAAAATTCATCTCTGCTTTATTTTCTTATTCTCATCCGGGCGATCGAAATCATCGAATACTCTCTCTCTCTCGAAACCCTAAAAAGATGACCTCTCTGACGAATTCGTTGGTTCTAACGAAGCATTCGCCATTTCATATTTCACCTGGTAATCCCTCTCTCTCTCTCTCTGTGCAACACTGATCCTTATTAAGATCATCACTTTGATCTTTAATTTTGAATCTGTCCATGAACTTGATTGAGGCTTTGGGTTTGCATTTATAGATGCATATGTAGAGTGACAGTTCTTAACCAATTTGTTCTCACACATGCTGTGGGTGTATTGAGAATGACAATTGTCTTTGTTAGTAATGGGATCAGTTGGAGACTTATTATGACAGGAAGCCTGAAATTCTCTCTCTTTCAACACAACACCTTTTAGTATTTTGTATTTGCACATTTGTTTGTTAGATGTTATGAAATATGGAATTCAATGAAGCTATGAGTAGGATAACTGATGAACCTTGATGATCAGCGATTACACTACGATTGTGATATAGATCTTACAGAAGCTAAACAAGTGGATGGCGCGGGCTTTTCTTATTTCCAAAATCGTAACTACATTGTTGTGATTTTATGAGGTGAATGCCAAGCTATGTTCCATGGACTTAGGTATGAGTATCGGATGCCGGTGTGCACCCAAGTGTTAGACTTCTATAAACTTAAAAATCTTAGGTCATGTTTGATTCACAATACTAATAGTGAGGTATTAATAATCCTATCAAATTAGTGTGGTATTAACTATCCCACCCCTACCCCATTACTAATAATCCTACAAATTTGTTGGATTAATTATCCATTGGATTAATAGTCCTAAACTAAAATGTCAAAACAAACATAGAATGATTGGGCCCACGGATTAATAATCCTAATCCCATGCTTTAATCCTTCCAATCAAACATGCCATTAGTATCTTGGATACATATCCAAAATTGGATATGTGTACGGGGATGCGCCGTTTACGCATATATATTGCATATTGTATGATATTTTCGGATAATATGTAAATTATGTAGAGTTTACGCATATATATTGCATATTGTATGATATTTTCGGATAATATGTAAATTATGTAGAAATATACTGAAAATTAAATAGTATTCAAGAAAAATTTAAAATATTATCTCTCTAATTCATGTAAGAGGCTAAAAATATTGTTTTACTACCAAATGTAAGTTTCTTCTTTTTCATATATTGTAAGAAATTAAAGGATCCAAATGTCTAAATTGGATATGAGCGTTGGACACATATCCAACACTCATATCTGGTGAACACAAGTACTTTGGAGGAAATAGAAGAGTCCATGTAACTCAGATGCCAAGGACTAATCTCCATTTCATTAGTTTTATTGCTATCTAATTTCTATATTGCTGTTATTTCTTCCTGGTATCAATAGTTCTGTAATCAACACCAGTTACTGAAATCCTGGTTTCCAGTTTTATCGTCTTTCAAAACTAGGAAAAGGTTGCATTAGGTTTAAGTTTAATTGAACTCTTTATAATAATTTACCAAATGTGTGTATTCTACTGGCCACTTACTCACACTTTCCATTACATCACTCATTCCTTCTTGGCCGCATAAGAACCAAAAGAGTCTTTGTGAAAGTTATCAGCATACTTGACAGTTGGGAAGGCATAATGCCATAGAGGAAGTTTACAAAATTCAGTAGTAGGCAATTTATGGCTTCAATTAACAATTGGAGATCTCTAATATTGACATTGATTTTGATTCTTTGATATGTTTGAGGATATTATTTGTTGTCTTCTTATGTTTTTTTTCCCTGTTTAGTATTATAAGAATGATGTTTGCTAAAGATGCCATATCTTGTTGTGTTAATTGTTTGTTGGAAGTCCCACCACAGATTTGATTCAATTCTTGTTAGGAGGTAGGGCACCATCTTCATTTGCTGATGATGTAAACTGCTAGCTCTAACTCTACACATTGTTTTCCTTCTATTGGTTGGATGTATTTGAAACAAACATTAGTTGTTTATGAATGTGTCCCAATTAAATATCTGTGTCCAGAAGAATGCTTGTCCCATTTTGGAATGTCTTACTTATTTGATCATCATCTTTGGTTCTTTTTTTCTATTTACCTTCATTGTTCTGGGGAAATTGTATGCTAGGCTCTCCTTTTAAGTCATCGGACCAGTGCCTTGGTAGTTTGGGGCCCAAGAACTTGTTGCTCAGTCTACAGACAGGGAAAACACAATTTTTGACGTCTAAACGGGCACTCACTGTTCAAGCAGGATACAGGTATCATCTGTGTTGGTAACACTTATTTTCACCAGTATGTTATGCAATTTGAAGTGAAGCGCTACATGATTTCTTATTGTTTCCTGATTTTTATTGAAGTGAAGTGCAAAAAACCCTTTCAATTTGAAGTTCTGACAGTCTCCTTCTTTGTGTGTAATCATAGTGATGGTGGAAAGCCAGGTAGCACGAGCATTTTTATTGGTGGCTTTGTTTTGGGAGGAATACTTGTTGGCACGCTCGGTTGCGTATATGCACCTCAGGTCCAACTGGTTTACCTAACATGTGCTTGTCATTCCAAATAGTCCAACAAAGTTGTTATATATATGTATCAATAGTCTTAATAGAAGATGATCCTTGGTGCCAGTTGGTGCTCTCTGTGCGACATGAATCTGTAGGCTTCAATTAGATAGCCGCAGTAAATATGAACGGAAATGAATTACTACATTGGACTGACAATTTATGTTGAATTACAGATCAGTAGGACACTGGCTGGAGCTGACAAAAAGGATTTAATGAGGAAACTGCCCAAATTTATATATGATGAAGAAAAAGCTTTGGAGGTGAACTGTTGCTGCTAAACTAATCAGTTTTTAGACTGACTTTGACCCTCCCACCCTTCTTTTTGAGGAGCGGCCTTCTCTTATTTGATCTTAAAACTTTTTAAATGATTTCCTTGTTTCTTTTTTGTTCTGGGGGTGTTCTTTTTTTTTTGCCTGATTAGTTCTAACGTTAGAGATCTAGCCATATGTGACATGATTGTACTTACTTAACTGTCGTCTATCTATCTGTCATAGAGTGCTTTTTGTATGTCGAAATATCTCCTTGTCGCTGTGTCACAAATAGACATGGATATGCAAAGCTTCTTTTCCATCTTAATATCTTGTAAAAATACAAAAATCATATAGGCCTTCTTTTTGTCTTTTTTCTTTTTTTCTTTTTTTCCTTTTTTTGAAAGTAAAAATTAGATAGGTTCTTCTTGTGAGGAGCAACCTCCTTGGATTTCCTTTTCATGTGTTAGAGTAATAAACGATTATAAGAGCTCTTGGCCTTAAAATTTCAGTATCATTTTATTTCGGTTTGTGAGTTTTCAATCTAAACTGGGGGCCCTTCAGAATCCTTAGTTAGAATTGAATTCTTGTTAATGTATTTATTTTTTCTGTATTCCTTTTACAACACACTTATGGTAGCCTATTTGCAGAAAACACGTAAAGTACTGGCAGAGAAGATAGCACAGCTGAACTCTGCTATCGATGATGTTTCTGCTCAGCTTCGACCAGAAGATGATACCCCAAATGGAGTGGCTGTGGATACAGATGAAGTAGAAGCTGCCATATGAGCATGATCCTGTTTGCATTTTGGTAGTATTGGCCTTCACGTTAATTGCAAGATTGGCCTTCACCTTGGTTAATTGCAAGATTTGGAAATGATTGTTGAGTCTGTTGTTGTCTTTTTTTCTTCTCGACAATTAATGTGGTTGTGTTGATGTAGTGGTTCTGAGCATAAAGTGACTGCTATTTTGCTTGATACAATAAAAACATTGCTCGGTGTCTGGGCTGATTTATATACAAAACAGAGCTTTTTCGGTTGTGCTGTTTTTTTGGTGTATTAGCAGATGTTCAATTTGGGTTGGTTTTTACTACTGATATTCTACAGTACCTTAAGTTCAAATGAATTAATAAGGTGCTTGAGATTCATGACCCTCAGGCTTGCATGGATTCCACTTTATGGATAGTGAAGTGTATGTGTCCCTTCAGCCAAGTTTTTGCAGATGAAAGAGACTTTAAACTTTGAACTTGCAAAAATACTAGGGGCCTCAAAAATTCTACTAAAAGTTTTACCAAATGTTTCACATGGGTGTGGGATCCACATGGGACTCACATTGTGTGGGTCCTACACGCATGAGAGACCTTTGATAAAACTTTTAATAGAATATTTGGAGTCTCGAACATTAATCTTAAACTTGGACTAATTCCTGATGCAATATTATGTGGTAAATGGGTAATGGTTCAATTGCATCTGGGGAAAAGAGAATTCTGGATGTGTTGAGAGCACGTGCACTTTTTCTTTTGAGTGAATTTCATTAATTTTGGTTCATAATTTTTCAATTGTAATACATTTGATCATGATTTTAAATTTTGTTCTAAATAAGGACAATCAAAAATATTTCATTTGCAAAACGGTTCATTTCAAGGGTAAAGTTATTATACAATTTAGGGTTAATTACACTAATCCCTATAGTTTGGGACTTGTGTCATTTTGGTCCCTGACTTTTCAATTGTAACACATTTGATCCTGAATTTTAAATCATGTTCCAACTTGGAACTTTCAAATAAGGACAATTAAAAATATCATTAGATTTTTTAAGGGTAAAATCGTCAATTTGATAATATATAAACTATTTTGACAAAAATAAATGTTAAAAAATATATTTTTAATTTTTTAAAAATTATTTTTATCCACCAATGATAAAATTATGTAAAATTAATAAAAATTACATGATTAATTTTTTAAAATTAATTTTACATGATCATCATCCAAACACATAATAAAAATTAATTTGGTAAAAAAAATAAATAAATGTCTAAAAGATTTATCAATTTTACATAATTTTATTTTTAGTGGGTAGAAATAATTTTTAAAAATTCAAAAATATTTGTTTGACTTTTATTTTTGTCAAATTAGTTTATATTTTATCAAATTGACAATTTTACCCTTGAAAAATCTAATGATATCTTCAATTGTCCTTATTTGGAACAAAATTCAAAATTCAGGGTCAAATGTGTCACAATTGAAAAGTCAAGAACCAAAATAACACAAGTCCCAAACTATAAGGACTATTTGTGTAATTTGCCCTACAATTTATTTTGTATTGGTTAACTTGTATATTGTTTGAAGTGTAATATCTTTTTTTAATGAATAATGCGCCACTTTTTTGGTTATAAAGTTCTATTTAGTTTGGTTTTCATAATCTATTTTCAGAAAAATTTTCTAAGAAATTAAAAATTAATTTGGTGAAAAAAAAAAAATACACATCATTTTTATATAATTTTATATTTTGTGTGAGTAGAAATATTTTTTTAAAATTATTTTTTATATTTATTTTAGTTAAATTAGTTTTTATTTTTTAAAAAGTCAAATATGATGACAACTTTGATGTCATTATCAAACCAATTCATTAAATCAAAAAATCAAAAACTAAAAACATTTCATATATTAAACATTACACATTAAAAACCTAATAACCATCTATTACATGATAACTATCTAAAAATAGCTGTTAACAACAAAAACAATCATCTATTACATGATAATCATCTAAAAACATTAACAAAAACAACCCATTTCATGATCATCATTCAAACACATACTCAAAATTAATTTGATAAAAAAATAAAAATGTAAAAAATTTATCATTTTTATATTATTTTATATTTGGTGGACAGAAATAATTTTTAAATATTGGATGACTTTGGGAATTGCTTTCACTGTTGGGATTGCAGATTGTGACATTTATGTCTTAGATTTTGAGGATGGAGAATTTGGAGGTCCTACAATAACCGTCGCATGGTTGGATTCTGCCAACTCGTCAAGGTCCAAGAGGATTTTGTTCTTCTTGGCCAAATCCACAAGTAATTCCTTTGACACGAAACATTTTTTAGTAGGATAACCAACTATCCAAAGATAGTGGCAGTACTTCGGATCCTTCACACGGCCTATTTCTGTAGGGCGTTTGTACTCAAGGAGTTGAATGACTTTTTTTTCAAGTAAATCGTCTAACATCCTTGGTACGTTAGAGTCAGGAAAGTGATACTTCTTTTCTTGTAGTTCTTTCAGAGATGGGCGTGTTTCCTTCATTTCTTCTTTCTTTTTGTCTTTCGTTAAAATCTTTATTATAGCTGTGGTTACCATCATTGCTTCTTTGGTGGTACCTTTGGTAGGCTTGCCTCATTTTTTCACTTCTTTATTATTTTTCCTTTGTTCAGGAATGGGAAGGTCTTTGCCATCATGGTTGGCTATGCTAATTTCAATGTCATGTGCGCTAACTCTTCAAATGTTCATGGTTTTATCCCTTGAAGGATGTAAATGACTCCGGAGTGTATGCCTGTGACAACCCTCACCACTGATTAGTGCTAATCTATGATTAAGCATATTAACTGACTGATTGACTGAAATTCTGAACTGATTGATTGTGTGTATTAGTTTAAATGCATGTCTATCTGTTTGACTGCTAAACTATCTGTTCATGTTTTGCGCTTTAAACTGCAAATTGAAGGCCTTATCGGCGGCCGAATCTGAAATTAATTAATGTTTTATGTTAATTAGAATTTATGTGATTTTATGGTATATTTAATTGAAAATTGATTTGGTATGATCAAATTAGATTTAATAGTGTTGAATTACATAAGTTGGCTTTATTTACTAAAACGCCATCTAGTGGGCCACTTTACCAATATTGTTGGAAGCTTAGTCTTGCATCTCATTCTTGTTCATCCTTGAGAGACCAAACCAAGAGAAAGAGTGAGAGAGGAGAAACTTAGCTTCATTTGAGAATTGGCTTGGAAACTAGAAGAATTGAAGGCTAATTGTGCAATCTGAGCTTGTATATCTTGCATTCTAGACCTAAGGTAGAACATTTACCTTATTGTTTGTGAATTTAAGTTAATTCTTGCATGGCTCATGGTAATTTAGTCATCTAAGTCAAGTTTTGGTTTAGATTGTTAAATTGAGAGGTAGATCATGCATGCATGCTCTTATATTGAGGTTTTGAAGTTGTTTTCATGGAATTTGTTACATGCATGTCCATATCTTGATTTTAGATCATGAAATCATCTTGTTTTTGAGGGAATTGGCTCATTGGAGCATGTATAAGAAGCTTTGAACTCATTAGAACACATGCATGTTATGTTTGATCATGTTCTTGAAGTTTTAAATGAATTTGTGTTTAATTGAACTACCTTTGAAACATGTCATATTATGAGTTTACAAGTGTTTTCTAGAAAATTAGCCCAAAAGGATTGAATTTGATGCATTTAAAGTTGGTTTTGAGCTTGAGGTTCAAATTTGAAAATTCCAGATTTTGGACTCACGCTCGAGCGTACGCCTTGTGTTCATGCAGTCCGCTCGAGTGAGGAAAGTGGCGCTCGAGCGTGAAATGCGTGTACCCAATACTTTGCATTTGTTTACAGTCCGCTCGAGCGAGGAAATGCACGCTCGAGCGAGGACTTGTGTCTCATGCTCGAACGTGGATCGAGCGCCCGTCGAGCGTGATTTTTGTGCATCCAGTATTTTTACTGTAGCTTACAGCCCGCTCGAGCGATGGAAGTCACGCTCGAGCGGATCTCCTTTGTCTGCATGTTCGCTCGAGCGTAGAAAGCCACGCTCGAGCGAGACCCCTGTTTTCTAAAAAATTTGAAAAGTGTTTTAAAGTGCATCTTTGCATCCTCATTCCATCCTAGGAACTCCTAGGCCTAGTTTAAGCCATCTTAGTGAGGATATTGATGTAGAACCACACCGAGGCAAATTAGGGATTAAGTTATTATTTTCCCAACTGTGTAGCTTAGTGTGTGTTCATTTTGTAACTATAGGGTTGGCATCCGAGGACGCGTACTAGCTTATCTGTAGCCCAGAACTCTATGAGTAACAATGTTGTAAAGATATGTTCAATTGAGATTATTTTTTGCACAAATGACTGTACTGCTTTATGAAATGACATTGTTTACTGAATGAATGTTTATCCTATTTGTGAACCGTATTCGTGGCATCCATAGCAATTTACTGTTACTAAACTATTACTGCTACTGTTACAGAGATCTTTGTCGGTTCCCACGTTTGGAACCACTACTGTTTACTAATATGATGGCCATCATTGACTGCTCGGTCTGTTAAGACCTACTGTACTGTTTTGCTATTGGATGTAAGACATATGACTATTATAGTTTCTGAATAACCGTTATGGCATGAAATATGAGCCACAAACTGAATGACTGATATACTGATAATTGACTGTTTTCAATACTGAAAGGACATTCATTCTTTTTACGCATATGTTATTCACTGGGCTTTAGCTTACTATTTATATATATATATATGTAGGTGTCCAGGCACCGGATCGGAGCTAGGGGCGTAGGGTTCAAACTCTCTTTTTGTCAAGCCAACCAACGTGTCTCACTGCGAGGTTCCAAGTCCTTCAAGCTAGGGCTTTTTGGGGTGTTTTAGTTTTCCCCCTTTTTGCATCTGATTTTGTAACACTGTATAGATTGAACGACATGTGTACTTGTACTGTACTGTTATAGTAGGGATTTGATCCCTAACCTGATATCTGTATATGATGACGTATGTACATACTGTTATGGTTTGAATGTGAACATGTTATGAAAAGTCTTTTTGCATACAGATTGTCATAGCTCATTGGACATCTCTTAATTATTGTTTTGGCATCCGCCAACCCGTGTACTCTGTATTACTGTTTTACTGTTAAGCAGGCCTTCAGTAATCTCGGATTACTGGCCAGTTACGGTGCTAAACTCATAGGGGTGGGTTTGGGTCGTGATAGAGTGGTATCAGAGCAATACTAAACCACAAGTTATACTGCACACACGTGTCCA